CTCGGCCTACATTATCAGAAGTTTCCTGCTGTACTAGAAGGGTACAGTGATGCAGATTAGAATACTTTGTCAGATGATTCCAAAGCTACTAGTGGCTATATATTTAGTATAGCTGGAGGAGTTGTACCTTGGAAATCAAGAAACAAACTATCCTAGCTCAGTCCACAATGGAATCTGAGATGATAGCACTAGCCATAACTAGTGAATAAATAAGTTGGTTGAGATGCTTGCTAGCTGAGACCCCTTTATGGGAAAAACCTATGCTAGCTGTGTTGATCGATTGTGAAAGTGTCGCGACTATTGCAAAAATTGAGAACTGTTAATATAATGGTAAAAGACGTCAAATAAGAAGAAAGCAAAGTACTGCCAGAGAATGTATCTTTAAAGGAGATGTAAGAGTGGATCATGTACGCACTGATGAAAACTTAGCAGATCATTTGACAAAAGGATTAGCTAGAGAGAAAGTCCAAAATACATCCAAGAAGATGGTATTAATGCCTCTAAAGAAATGAGTTGCTCATGATGGTAACCCAACCTAGATGACTGGAGATCCCAAGAAATAGGTTCAATGGGTAATAACAAGTTGTGAGTAATATGAGATGATCATGCAAGTAAAGCATGAATCCTGAAGTAATAAGAGGATGAGATAATAAAAGCTCTTAATGAGATCTATACTCTATATGAGAGAGTACCTAGGCTACATGAGTACTCTTGATAGACTAACATTTGTGATTGTGGAACTTGGGTCGGTTCCTATGGAATTGCGGGGCATAATTCCTAGAGCCTTCACTAAACTAGGATACACGTGCAGGGCCGTTAAAGCACGGGCTATTAGAATACACCTTAAGAAAAGGTTGTGTGTGGGTCTGATGTCTGAGATAGAGTTCAAGACAATAGTGTCACTCTTGTTCAATTGGAATCCTACTTGCTACGCAAAGGTTCAAGTCGTAGACACCTTTGTTTATGCACAATCTTAGAAATATTTGACGTACTTCTAAAATCACCTTTTAAATTCAAGTGGGGATTGTTGGAAATCTTGGTATGATGTTAACTTGGAGTGGGAGTTGGAATGGTTTATTGACATTAAATGGGGAAATAAATGAGCATAAGTAAGAACTAGTATAAAAATGAATTTGAAAGGATTCATTTTAGTCTCACATAAGAGGGAATACAAATATTAGTAGTGTATATATATTCCAACTTGGCTAATTGGGTTGGGCCTCAAGGGGCACCCCAATTTTGTAAAGGAGTGAGGACACACCCATAAGCCATCTAGACACACACGCGCGTGCGCCACCGCCGTCTGTCCGACCGGCTCGATTCAGTTCGATTCGGTTCGATTGTGGTCTAGATGAATTAATTTTTGAAACCCAAATTAGTGGAAATTAATTATCATTAGTAAAATTAATTCGGTGGAAATTAAAAATAAGAAATTAATTAATATTAATATTAATTAATTATGAAATGGTGACGTGTCCTGCATAGAAACCAAGTCTTAACCTATTCTTTGGACTGGTTATGTTTGCCCTCCAAGAGTCATACATGTACGTGTGACTTGCTGACCAAGTGAAAAAACGACTACATTTGATTGAGCCGATTCCACTATCTCCCACGATACTTCTTCCATTTAGTTGGATCTTTGCCCTATAAATTAAAATTCTTCAGTTCATTTGTAAGATTCCAGAATTTTCAATTCGAGATTCTCTCTTCTCTCTCTCTCTCTCTCTCTCCTCCTCCTCTCTCTCTCTCTCTCTCTCTCTCTCTCTCCTCTCTCTCTCTCTCTCACTCTCTCTCTCTCTCTCTCTCTCTCTCTCTCTCTCTCTCTCTCTCTCTCTCTCTCTCTCTCTCTCTCTCTCTCTCCTCTCTCTCTCTCTCTCTCTCTCTCTCTCTCTCTCTCTCTCTCTCTCTCTCTCTCTCTCTCTCTACTCTGCTTCATCTACAAAATTTTCTTTTCTGTTTTCGATTGGCTTACTAAGCGATCAACGACTGGAAAATTTTAGATACTACGACTGGTTTTATACCATCTGAAGGTGTAATTCTTCGAATAGTTTATTATCGTACAAGTAATAATCGTATTTCTGAATGGGATGTTTTATCCTGGAGACATCGTCGAAACTCCGACTGCTTTACATAACTATTGGGCAGTACGACGAAACGTCTTAAAGAAAGTGACCTAGTACGCGACTCGTCCCGATAATTTTTCTTTGTGTCATTTTAAAAAAAACCGGAAACAACAATTTTCCCCATCAATCGTTGGCCTCTTTTGACAGCAAGAGTACCGAGTTGTACCTTCTGAACCTCATTGCAAGCCATCACTCGCGGAAATTTTTCTCAATCTCTCTTAGCCATACCTGTGCACCATCTGGATCATATCTACCCTTGAATGTCGGCAAATTGTTTCTCTGGAATTTTCCCAGTCCCTGAAATTCATCAACAACTCCACCATTGTGGTTATTCTGTTTATTCTGATTCATCAACATTATACACATTCTACACAACAATCACATAAATATATTATCACACTCAATTTAATATTATACACAATCCCAATCACGCGTATAACCCATTTATGCAATGTGACTCATGATAATAACTCGACTAATATGCATGTGGTACCATTTATGGACAATACATGTCCATCTCGCTCCCCGATCTCCACCATAGGATCAGATTCCCTCTTAGAACAAGAGCACACCAAAATTGTCACTAATAACTATATAGTAACACTTCATCGTCCCTCAATGGAATTAAATACTCACATCAGATCCCCGTCAAAAGACCCAAGCTCACTAAAATGAACTAAAGTTCAAACACTATGATGCACGACTTTCAACTTTGACATGCAAACAAACATATGCACTAATGGCCCATCTTATGACCGTGCATGTCGCCAACAACATCACCATGACAACATAGTATACATATATTCAAGTACGCTACTTCAACAATAAATAACACTGAAACATTCATCATTTGCACTACTCTACATAATCTATCATTTAAATCATGTTATAATTAATTAGATAATACTAACAACCAATCATAAACACCAAACAATACCCAACAATACCCTGTATCCCTACACAACAACAAAAATTGGAATCATAACTCAATTTCACACACCATAGCTCATTACGCTCATCCTGGATGCACAAAGCATCAAAACTTCACTTGTGTGACGACCGACTCCACAAATTGAGCCTGGGCTTCATGACGGTTTACCTGTCACAGGCATGACATCCGTCATCGACTCAAAGGCCATGATGACTTGGTCACCATGACGATGGCGCCTGCCATCGACCTGCAAAATGTAGATTTTCGTTTTCTACATGGAGTTCAATTTAGAACTCCAATTTCTCATCTCATGCATTCAAAAACGACTCAAACCAATACATACATATCATATTAGCATCCATATCATATTATTGCAGCAAGTTAACATCTTAAATCAATTCTTTTCATAGTTTTACAAGATTCATATAACCTTTAAAACTTAACCGTTGAGGATATCTCAACATAGAAAATCCCACATCATTCACCTAATAATTCATATGAATTGCATCATGGAAACAAATTACAACCTCATTTGATCACCAATTTTCAAACTCACATAAATACATAACAAACATACATAATTACACAAAATCTATTGGAATTTAAGGAATCCTCATTCTACCTCTCATTCATTATACCCATTAGAGAAGTAGTTATCCCCCTTCCTAACAAGAATTCTGAATTGGTTTGAATGGATTCTCTCTTCAACTTCTAACCTCTTTCTCTCTTTTCCAAAGTTTCTACGTACGAACCAGAATTAAAGCTCTCTAAACTTATAATTCACTTCCAATATTTATATTTTCCTCCTCACATCTATTCCTCTCTTACTCCTTGTTCCCTTCTATTTCTCTTATTTTCCACTTTCACCAAATTTCTCTATTTTAAATCAAATAGATTAAATAATTATTATTATTTTTATTACTAAAATAATTTAATAAAATTGAGGTGTTACACACAAAATCCGTAACCGGCTACACGATGCTTCTATATAATTTTAAACTTTGTTGAAAGGATGGTAATCGATTACACTTCTCTTGTAACTAGTTATATTTCTATTGTAGCCGATTGCTTATAGCAACTTAAATTAGTCCATTTTCTCAACAAATGTTATTTGTCCATACTAAATATCAGCGTTCTTTTTTATCTTAATTAATGTGGTAAAGACAATTTTTTTCTTTCATTCATAAAATACACTAAAACCTATGTTTTTTCTGCAATCAAAATCATGAATTTGTACCCATTGTTTGTTTTCCTTGCGAAACAAACAGAGTATATCCCGTGGAATGATATGGATTTGATGAATAAAAATACATAAATATGTCCAATAATGTTGTCTTTTCTAGTTTGAATTTTGTGAGTCATATTATACATAAATATTACAAAAATGATTATAAAACATAAGTTTTATAGAATGATCATGCATAAAAGACGAGTAAAACGTTAAAGGCAGCTGAATAGCATTTTTCAATTGGTACGGAATATAGGATAGCCATTACCTGTGATGCAGGGACCATTATCATTCACACTCATAATATCAGGACCATAGATTATTGAATTTGAATATAGATGATAGTATATAACACGCATCACTCTATCTGAAAAAAATAAAATAATTTATATAAACTTATATAAATTCATAGATAATTTATAAAATAATTAAATTTTAACTTTATTTTAAAATAATACTATCTTCGATCTTATTTATAAAAAAAAAAATACTTTTTAGATACTATCTTCGATCTTATTTATAAAATAAAAGTTTATATTGTTCAGATATATTATTTATTAAATATATTTAAAAAGTAAATTTTTTCTTATAAATAGAATCAAATGAAGTATAAATAATACTACTTTAAATACATTGATGATGGACAAGTAACGGGAAGCAGTATATAAGAAGGAAGCACCTAAAACAATATCATCACTTGCAAGAGAAGTAAATATACATGGAATATTATAGTGTTGTGGGTTTGGTATTAGTCCTTTTGGTATGGATGATGAGACTTAGAAGAGTGAAACTTGGTCATCATCAGCTACCACCTGGACCAAGATGTTGGCCACTGGTTGGCAACATTTTCCAGCTAGGTTTGTCATTGTCGCCGCACGAGGCCTTTGCAATACTTGCTCGCAAACATGGTCCTGTCATGACTCTTTGGCTAGGTTCAATGTGCACTGTCGTAATCTCCTCCAGCGACGTAGCACGTGATATGTTTAAAAACAATGATGTTGCTCTTGCTGGAAGGAAGATTTATGAGTCCATGAAAGGGAATCATGACTACGGTAGTGAAGGTTCGCTCATAACTTCTCAATACAATGAGCACTGGCGCATGCTGAGACGCTTGAGCACCACCGAGTTCTTTGTGACTAGTCGCTTAGACACTATGCGAGGTGTACGTGCAAAATGCATAGACCGCATGGTGAACTTGATAAATGAAGCTTCTGGTGATAGCGAGTCTGGCGTTGATGTTGGAAAAATCTTTTTCTTGATGGCTTTTAACCTCATTGGGAACCTTATTTTTTCAAAGGATTTGTTAGACCCTGAAATGGAGAGAGGAGGTAGATTCTATTACCATGCTGTTAAGGTTATGGAATATGCTGGGAAACCCAACGTTGCAGATTTCTTTCCTATATTGAAGTGCCTTGACCCTCAAGGTATAAGGAGAAACACACAGTTCCATGTTGAAAGAGCCTTTGAGATAGCAGGATCATTCATCAAACAAAGGATGGAAAATGACACTGCAGACAGTGAAGAGACCAAAGATTTCCTAGATGTGCTCTTGCAGTTTCATGGCGATGGTGTTAGTGGCCCCTACAATTTTACTTCAAGAACCATAAACGTTGTTGTCTTTGTAAGTCCCTTCATAATTGGTATAGAAAACTATATATGCTACTTTTCTAAACATGGTAGATTGTAACGTTGATAAAAATATTGTGTCGTAGGAAATGTTCACTGCAGGGACAGATACCACAACAAGCACACTAGAATGGGCTATGGCAGAACTTCTGAACAATCCAAGAACACTAAAGAAAGTGCAAATGGAAATAAGGAGCAAAATAGGCCAAGGTAGGAAATTTGAAGAAAATGATATTGAGAATCTTCCCTACCTTAAAGCAGTTATCAAGGAGACATTGAGACTTCACCCACCTCTTCCTTTTTTGGTTCCTCACATGGCCATGGACTCTTGCAAAATTGGAGACTACTACATTCCCAAAGAGACACAAGTTTTAGTGAATGTTTGGGCAATTGGGAGGGATCCAAAAATGTGGGATGCTTCCTTATTGTTCTGGCCAGAAAGGTTTATGGAGCCAAATGTGGCTGATTACAAGGGACATCATTTTGAGTTTATACCTTTTGGTTCCGGTCGTAGAATGTGTCCGGCATTGCCACTTGCTTCGCGTATACTTCCACTGGCCTTAGGCTCCCTCCTCAACTCCTTTGATTGGATTTTGCCTGATAATCTTAAGCCTGAGGAGATGGACATGAAAGAGGGAATGGGGATAACATTGAGAAAAGCTGTTCCTTTGAAAGCCATACCTGTGCCTTACAAAGGAACTCCTGTTGCAGTAGCAGGGAAATAAAGCAATACTGGCATCCAACTGTTGGCTGCAAGTTAACAAAAATGTACAGATAATATGTTGATGTATTAGACTTCATTCGTTAAGAACAGGCACTTCTACCTGTTTCTAAGCTTTGGTTTGCTACCCTGGTTGTAAATTTGAGTTGATTGATTTCGGCCTGATTTGAATATTAAGTATGTTTGGATTAGTGTTGTAATACAACTGAACATATCCAGTGTAAAATACTATTACATACATATGAAGATGTACCTACTACATGTCTTTCTCTGACATTTGCCGGCCCAGAAGTTTCTAAATACAAAACAATTTCATATACTGTCTGGAGTACACCTTGTGAATCACTTTTTCTTTTACTAATCTTTGCCAATATTTATACAGAAATGATCCTACATTGACAAACAGATAAAAGGGGATTCAATTATAACTGAGAAAATTTCCAAGGTCAACTTTCATCAAGTCATTCAATATTAAGTCATTTTCTTTTTAATTTCTTATTTTTGGAAAGTTTCACCTACATAAAAGTACTAACATAATCCTCTAGATGATTGAGAAATTCAGTTTGAAATTTGCTTTCATTCCATTCCCCAAAACATGCATATAACTCATTTACTTGCTGAGATGTTGAGTTTTCCAAATCATGTATAACAAGAAGAAAAGTAGCCAGATTAACAAGGCAATCATCAATCGCTCAACAGGTTTACACATTTCACCAATTTAAAGACAGTACTTAAAAGAGATGGTAGATGAAGCTACATTCCACAACAGCAACCAACAACAGCACAACAACTAAAGTCTTCTCTCACTAAGTGGGGTCAACTAAAAAAATGAATGTTTGCATTCTAAGCATTTGCAAGAAGTCAAAAAGGCATTGTACTTCCACGGATCTACAATTATTTACATTCTAATAGGGTACATTCTAAGTTGATCTAGTACCTAATAAGCAATTTCTTAGTGGAGTTTCCGCTTACACCTTCGAATTGCAGCCTCTCTAGAAGCATCTTCATCATCACATTCGGGAGATTCTTCAACAACACTTTCCTCCTGCAAAACCCGCCCTCGGTTCCGGGATATCTTCCTAATAGGGGTAACAGGCAAAGCTTGGGCGGAATTGTCACCATTCATTTCTGCCTGTGAGCTATCCACAGTGCTGTGTTGAACCCTATGTGGCATTAGCTCTTTGCCATCTGGCACAAGATCCTTCATTATCTGAATTTGAAAACAATGTCAATAGAGTTTTAAAAAGGAGTCATAATTTAATACCCAGAACTTCAAATGAACAGAATAACGTATTGTCTGTCAGCAAAACTTCCATAAAAGCAAAAATTTGTCATAAAAATAATGTCGGCTAAGTTTTAGTAATAACAGCAAAAGCTTGTTCAGCATCAACTCTTCATTTCGTTTATTCTTTAAAGATTATAGGTTGAACAAAGTCCAACACAACTGATACAAACTATTATTTGTTATTCCTTTTTAAACATATGTGGTGCAGTTATTCTAAAATGACACAGCTCCACCCGAAAAATTTCTAATAATATGCATGACATGCCTTTGAATTTCCAGTTAACAAGAAGTGGGCATCTTTTACCTTCCAGTCATTGTAATCATATCTGAAGACAAAATGAGTATAAGAAACTTCTTTTGACATTACAGCATTAGCAGCCGGAGCATTTTTTGGCGCTGAAATAGAAGATGGCATATATTTAAGTATAGAAGGTACAACAATGATAAGGAAGTAGGCAGCTGATTGTTAGAAAAGCAGATCTTACAAACATAGTGTGAATGGTTTTTGTCCATATTGATCTCAGCACGACCATCTTTCACTAAGAAAGAAAGGGCAAACAAATTCTCCACTGTCTGAGCAAACGAAAATCTATTCAAAATTAAGTATTCAAGCTGCACCTTTTTATTTTCCCTCAATAAGTTAAACATGGTTGACATGTTTTTGTCAGTATCAGTTTTTTCCCCTTCAACAGCATCATTCAGCTGTTTCAAACACACAATAATCAACATTAAATACCAAAGTACTTGGAAGCATAGAAAAGACCAGAAAATCAATCCCCAATCTGTTTTCAAATTAGACCAACCAGACAACAAAAAAGTTACTATTCACAGACCTTCATCTTATTAAGAATAGTATGTATGGCAAAATACAATAGCAAAAAAAAAACAAGGAAATGACTGAATATTATAAATAAATAAAAACCTTAAAATCTGGAGCATTGATATAGCAGTTAAATTGCAGGAATCTAATTTTAAGGAACAAAAACAAAAGATGTGATCTTTCAATTAGAAAGAACCACCACCAAAATTAATGGTATCTATTGATTCCTTCATTGTTTTTCAATGATATAATAATAAAGATTATACAAAAATAAAAGACAAACAAACAACGTGTACCGCTATCCTTTTTGGATGGCATGACCAACAAAAGAGATACTATTTAGGGACCTTCAATCAACCAACATTTTGTAAAGTGATTATATCTTATTTACAAGCACATTATGAAGTTCAAGTTTGTTCATTGTATGAAAAAACAAAAACAAGTAGCAAAAGTGAAACAATATAATGACAAAATATTAAAAAAACCCTCAAAATCTGTAGATTTGTAATATCAGCTAATTTGATTGCAGCAAACTAAGCATAAGAAGAGAATTTGCAACCTGTTCGGGCCTATCAGTTGTAGCTGAACGAGGCGTTCGCTTCCTCGACACTATTGTTTTGCGCTGTTTCAACTGACTTTCCATAGGACCAAGCCTTCAAACAAATGACAAAAAAAACTGTAAGCTACAAACATACATTTCAAAGTAAAAAAAAAAAAAAACATTGACACATAGCAATTGTAAGTAAGAAACAAACTAACATGGTGGAAGATCCATGAACAGTGAGAAAAATGGACGAAACAGAAGTTCCGAGTTTTGACCAATCAATAGAACTGTTTGGCGAAGGAGCATAGCGTTGAATCAACGAAGAAACAAACTGGGAAGGAGTAACACCTTCGTTCACGAGAGACTTAACAGATCCAACCAAAGTGCGAGTTAAATCGAGAAGCGCCTCGGCGTCTGCAACTTGTTCTCGAGGCTTCTTAACTTGATCATGTAACTTATCAAACTTGCTCAGAATCGAATCGAATTTGTCCGAATCGACGTTTAACAAATCGTCTTTCTTCTCTGTTGTTACCGAAAAATTAGGGTTTGGGAAATTGTTGATAATAAATAACAAAGGAAAGGAATTAGGGTTTAAGAAATTGATGATACCGTTGATGAGAGACTTGAGTTTGAGAAACTCGGAGCGGATGATTCGGCGGATTGAGGAGTTTTGCTCCTCCGTGGGGTGGTCGTTGTCGTTGTCGTTGGCATTGACGCGCTCTGGCTTCACGCGCCGCAAGACTTGTTGCTCTTGATCTTCTTCTTGTTCGATGGTGTTTTTGCCTTTGCGAGACATTTTTGAAACCCTAAGCACAAGACTAAACTGCGCTCAGTGATTTCAATTGAATTTGGGTTGAATCAAAAGTTTAATTTAAAGAAATCCAATTTTATTTGTCAAAAACATATGAAGGTTACTTTTCCCGCCGCGAAAATGCACTAAACCTGCCTTGTTTTTTCGTCCTTTTTATTTATTTTTATTTTTTACTTTTTTTCATCTTCACATTGTAATAAAGGCTTTTCCTTCCTATGGCCCAAAATTTTTGGATGGACCTCTCCAGTATTCAAAGCAATTTTTTTAATGCACCTCGGTTTATTCTAGCGCACTGTGCAAAAATATATTTGTGTTTTTAGATTTTGAAAATATATCTTCGGGCGCATTAAAGTTTAATATATTATTGAACAAAAATTTGTATAAGTGAAAATAATTTATCGAAGATACATCTATGTAACTTTACGTAAATGCATCTCTGAACGCTATTTGTTCAAATACGCGTCAGAGTCCCTTCTCCTTCCTCACTTACTCATACTCTTTCAGAAACTCATTTCTACAAACACTTATCGACCCTCGTTAGCTTAAACTCACTCATAACACATTCAATTTTCATCTAGCAACATCAAACTTCATCAAACATCAGTATTCAAACATCATTGGACAACAAGAATCAACTTGAAGAGAGAAATTATAAGTGTTTTTGAAGTTTATTGAGTTTACGTAAAATTGTGTAGAAGTTGAGTTTTAGGTTATGAACTTAAAAAAATTTAGTGTTTGAAAGCTTAGAACTACTAAGGAATAATTTAGTTTGGTATTTTTTACGATCAATGAATTTTTTTGATATTTTATGGGTTTGCATTCCGCCATTGACGGTGTTTGAAGCTGCAGTAATTTTCGGAGATATATCTCTGAAAAATTTCAAAATTTACCCATAAAGCGAATATGCGTCTCTATAATCAGCCTGCCTGCAGTTTTTTCCTTTTTTGTACATGATTCTTGTGTAACATTCATCTTGTCTATTTATAAAAGTTATGGCTGACAGACAATCCAGATTGAGACATGGTAGGATTACACGTCATGCAACTATTCAGAAGGGAAAAGTCAAAGGTCACGGGCTTTTTCTACCTCTAGGCAGGTTGATACGGAGGCGGCGTCAGGTCTCATGGCTCGTGTGTCTCCGCCTTCTTATTCATCCTCACGTAGCAGACGAGGGTCCCCTGCTCATGCCTTTCTTCCTCTATCTACACGTAGACACATTAGTTCACATATTCAGGTATCTGAGACAGGAGAGGCGTCACAAGCCCAGGCGACACATGAGGCACCCCTGTCTCAGGCCACACCGGTGGCACCTGAGGCATCACAGTCCTAGGCGACACATAAGGCCTTATAACCCTACACTTGTATTTGTACCCTAGCATTTGAAATTTTTGAACAAAAATGCCTTTCATATAAATAGTAAAATTTAAGTAAAAAAAATCACTTTCCAATTTGACGCTCCAAAACTCTTCTGAAACGTTATGAGAACAAAACACATTACAAAACACTTTTATATACTCTTTCGGTTTACAAATTCACACACTAGAACACTCCAAGCAAGTCTTTCGGTCTTGTTTAGGGCACTGGAACACATGTGAAAACTCTTCCAGTTTGGTTGTATTAGCCGGAACACATTTGAAAATGGTTCTGGTTTTGATTGTGACACATCAAAACACTTTTGAAAATTGTTATGGTTTTGATTGCGACACACCGAAACACTTTCATAAACTCTTCCAGTTTTGTTCATATTTTTTACACGCCAGAACACTTCAGAATATGTTTTGGCTTGTTTTTATTTTTTTTTTCTGGCTTATTTTCAGAATGTGAACATTAGACAGAAACGGTAGGCTTCCTTGTAGGATAGAACGAAGCATTACACATATTGTGTCAACAGAAGAGGAACATGTTGGTACATCTGCATCCACTCCACATATTACTGGCTTTCCAGGAGGTCATATGATGCGTCTCTTCTGGTTTGGTATAAGCAGCATTGTGCTCGACGTCTATGGTTCAGTGAAGTAAGTAAATGACTAATTTATGTTGAATAAACTTTTAATTTTTATTTATGTTTAATAATATGTGTATTTTTGTTTTCAGGAGAGAGGTCCGGAGAATGAACTGAAAGTTGCAGAACATGGGATGAAGCTTCAGAGTTGCGTTCCACTTAATCTCTCACGAGAGATAGAGAAATGATTGTCTAACTTTGGTCTAACTTTGCTTCATAGAACCAGTTTGTCAAAGATAGACCCAAACCTAGTATCCTCGTTTGTAGAGAGATGGCATCTAGAGACATACTTCATTTCACATGCCATTTGGTGAGATGACGATTATTATGGATGACATCGCTTGTTTGTTTCACTTACCCATTCAGAGAAACTTCTGGAGCCCCGAACATGTCACGAAAGAAGATGATGCTCAACTAATTGTTAACTACTTAGTAATGTCATATGGTATTGCAGCAGGACAAATACGAGGATGCATGGGTGCATATTATAAGCTGGAGTTGTTATACCGTTTATTTGTAGAGCATTGAGTTGCTTCTAATTGGGCATATGCAACCAGAGCATATATGCTAATGTTGGTTGGTAGCACTAATTTTTGCAGACAAGACATTTACGCTTGTTGAGGCATGATATCTATTGTTATTCAGGGACTTGGATAGCCTTTAGGGTTATAGTTGGAGAGCGGCTGCTTTGGTTACCCTTTACGGTGCTCTTGGAGATGCATCCATGTTTAGTTGCAAACAACTTGATGGATATCTTACTCTACTTCAGGTATTTATTAAATATAGTTTATTTTAATTTAATTTATTTATTAGTTTAGTCTATTTTTTTATTAAACCTAACATGCATCCTATATAAGCTTAAGTAAAGGTTGTATCTCACTTCTAAAACCTATTATCTCTTTTTCTAACACACTCTCATGCTTATATACTTGCGTAATCTGAGTGACATTTTCAGGATCTCACTCTTGCAAGGAAAGCAATATGTGTCTAGGAGAAACATGTCTCTTCGTTAAATCAATAACATGGTGCTTCTCATCTGTTGTCAATCTACTGACAAAGGTATGACCTTCTAACCTATCAAGTAAACCATGGTTATGAACTCCATATTTTACACCAACCTTCCATCCAGACCCATCTTTCGCCGGATTTGAACTGATTTTGAATGGACATCCATATTTTTCAGTCGCACTTTGTGTTCCACTATTTGTATCCTTATATTTCTCTCACTTATCACACCCAAATATTACTTTGTTACTTCTTTCTCTCTTGCATATTTTGGTGTTTGAACGAGTGATAATAACAGTGACTTTGTTTCTGAAAACCTCTTTAATCCATCTTATCACCCTTTCTCGTGTATCGAATCCTTGAGCAATTGTGAATGTATCAGATGTATCTACACATATATGTTTTTTACGCATATTTCCATACCTGAAAAAACAAAAAAAATTAAATAAAAGCATTCTGGAAGACTTAATAAAAGTGTTCCAATTTTAAATTGAAAGACTTCCAGAATACTTAATAAAAGTGTTTCAGTTTTAAGAAAAAAATACTTTCGGAAGACGTTAGTAAACTGTTCCGGTATGCTAGATTTTTTTATCCAACACCAGAACACTTTATGAAAGTCTTTCGGAAGTATTTTTTTTCAAAACTGGAAGTCATATTGAATGTGTTCCGGTTTATACAAATACATATCAGAAGTCTTCTTGAAAGTCTTCCGGAATTGCTGCGTAGGGGTGCGATTTTCTAAATAGTGAGAAATAAAATGGTAAAATGGTTAAAAGTATCAAAAGGTAAAATTGGAAGTTTTGGAAAATTATTGGGGTACATGTATAATTGTAGGGGTATGGGGTAAAAATTTCGGATAGACCTCCCTCAATATTCAAATGGGGAATTCTTTTTCCTAAGCCCTTTAAAAATTCAAATTTGTTATTCATATGTTCGGAGAAGCATCTTCTTACGCATCTAAAATCACGTCAATCTTCTTTTTTCTGAGTTTCACCCCAGTTTAAAAAAAATATGGTCCGGAGATGCATCTCTGTATATTGTTTGGGTTTATCTGGAGATACATCTCCGAGATGCCCATTGCACTCATTTATGTGGTTTTGATATTCACTCAACTAATTTAAATAACAACTCAGTGATATTTTCGAAGATGCATCTCCAGAAATGCCCAACTGGAAAGTTGATAAAACACCACCTTGCATGATCTTCATCTTCATGCTATAGTAAGAAACCATTTCAAAACCCTTGAAACAATTTCTCTCTTTCTCAGTTAACTTGTTAACACCAAAACATCATTCTTGTATTTCTTCACTTTAAAGTGAGTAAAACAAGTTGGAATTACAGGTAAAAATCATTCATTACATCCCTCATTTCTTGCATTAGTCTTAATTTTTAGTTGGAAAATGAATGTTGAGTCCAAAGATGCATCTTCAGACAAAGCTATTGGTGGTTCGGATGTGCATCTCCGGATTGTCTTGATAGTTTAAGTTTTCACAATGCTTTTTCTGTTATTGGTGGTAATAGATATGATACACCTGAATATGTTTCCCAAAGCTATTGTGAGTGTTGATGATAAACTGGTCAAAGTAAAGTATGATGTTAAACTGGATGAAGTGAATTGAATCGAATGAAGCGACTGATGATGTTAAACCGGGTGCTTGATCGATTTTTGTCGAGGTATATATTCATGCATAATTCACAAATAAAGATAACATTGTTAGGTGTGAATGTGGCCCTAAAATCTTGGCTCTTCCCGTAAAAAAGTGCGGGCAAAATAGACATACCCTATAGGCCGGACCCATTTTGTCACTCCTAGATAAAATAGGTCCAGATAGCTCAAAGTGTGGATGTATACTTAGGAATACTTTTGGTCATCCATGTGCTTATTTAATTTCAAAGAAGATGCAACTTGAAAAACCAATACATATGGATGAAGTTTGCACTCATTGGAAAATCAAACATATTTATCATGACTGAGTGG